TATCGATGGTTCACTTTCTTAAAAGGCCATTTAGTTCCGTCTGGAATGATGTAAAAATGAGCGTTCTTGCTCACGTTGCTTCCGAGAAATGAGCAGAAACGGGTCGGAAAACATGAAATTTTGGCATAATCTTTCCTCAAGAACCATTTGAGCCACAGAATTCGTTTTGGCATCGTTGGATGAAGTAAAAATTCAGTCTTGTGTCGCCAATGAGAAAAATTATCGTTTGTCGACATAAACCCAGATCGCATATTTTTCCTCATATTTCCAATAGTTTCCGGTCAAATCCAATCCATTCAGCCCTAATCCGGCCGCAGCCATTTTCTAGAAATAGAATTTCAACACCTGCTCTGATTAACCTTTTTGTCTCTACGTGGGCTTATCCGACAGGCGATTTCCTCGTTTTTTAGTATTGGCGACGACAAAATCGTGGGGCACAAAAGCGGTAAGAGCCGAGGTTTTATTGCTCGAACCCGAGCGATAAAACCGGCTAATAAATTATTGTTTTTCCCTCTAAGAGGTGGGATTTTCCGAGCATTTGCATCGTTTTGGTACCAGCGCTCGCATTAAGCCATAAAGCTGCACTATTCGCAAACTGAGGAGCTACAAATGGTCTACAACCTTAGCTTGGAGGGCTTCCATCTACAAATCCCTTTATATCTGGTCGTAAAACGTTCTTTTGCCACTCTGCATAAAGTGTATCAAACATAATAGTTTTGTTCACTTTGCTCATACAAATTTACCGGCTACATTGTCGGTTTGCTACGAGTTTCAGATGCATTTTCCCGCGGCTCGAGTTTGGAAAGTTGGCATAAAGTTTCATGGAGTTTGCCGACTCTTTTATGAGGTTCAACAACAGACAGAACTCGATATTTTTGGCCTGATTGGCTTCGCTCTTATTCCCCTGAAATGATGCATATTCTAGTCACTCTGTTCTTTCATTTTAGTTTAAATAAGACGACTTGCTCGGTTGCAGTGAGTGCGATGAGCTCGGATTGGACTTTTTTTAAAGAGTGATCAGGCTCTTAAAAAAATTGACCGAGAAAACCCATTTTTCGATTCATTTAGTTTGCCCTGCCTGTTGGTTTATTGGGCGTCTCAACTGCTCTAAACGTGAACATTTTAAGGAGCAAACATCGATAAAAAGTAGTTTTGTGACAAGACGGGCGACGACATCGAGTAAAATTCCATTTGTAAAAGGCGTCCGTTCCACTCACGCGTTGCGGCGTCGTTTTCAATAAGCGTTGGATTCAGTAACGCCGCGACGCTCCTTCAAGACGCAAAAAATCGATTTGTTAAGCTGGGGGCCCAGTTTTCCGTGTTTTTAGGTCTTTAGTGACATTGGAGAATCGGGCTAGTTTGAGACCTGGATGTTCCAGCGCTTCGCCTCTAGACAGACACTTAATTTTTTTAAAACTGGTTCGATTGAGATGCAACTTTTATCGAAATTTCCCGTTCGATGCACTGCAAGTAGGAATTTGGAAATACATAAACACTGGAAGCGCCGCTCGAACAGTTTCTTGAAGTTGCGGTTCTTGCAGAATCGCTTTAACACCAGCACTAACTATTGGAAACATGCTCAAATATTAACGTTAATTTCCTAGACTGGAGCACGAATCCGACCATTTTCGGCAATCGACAAACAACTTAAGGGCAAAATCAGATTGAACCTCTAGCAATCGCATTAGCAGCGGGCCCTTTTATAACTTGTATATTCAACTATTTTTTCATTCATTCGACTCTGACGTTTTGCATGAATGCCTGGCATCCTCAGATTTATCTGGAAAAAATTGCAATTTAAAATTCATGACCCCCCCCATTCAATTCTCTATCCAACGATGCCAAAACGAATTCTCTGGCTCGAATAGTTCTAGAGAAACTTCGGAAAAAGCAGCGTCATGTTCAAGTGGATTTTG